AAGAGGTGAATTTGATGTACAGGTATCTAGAGGTAGACCCAACAGTTGCTGGCAAATCAGAACCACAGTACTTTCCAAGGAGTTTACTGCTGGACAGATATGACGAGTCATACACCTCCAGAATGTCACTGACAAAGCTTTGGCAACGTCCAAAAACAGTATATCCATAAGTCTTGAATTCAAGAAATGTCAGCTGTACATGGTATCCTATTGGTGCCGTTATTACCCATGTACAGGATGAACGCCTAGCATAGTTTGATGGGTATCCTGGGCTTTGTATGAATTCTTCAGAACCTGAGTAAGCATTGCGGTATTGCGAACCACACTGGGCTGGAGGACAAAATTTGTACAAGATTAAATTACAATATATTTTTTAACCAATTTAAATATCAGATCATGGTTGGCTAATAAGAATCAAATTACAATCTAAAGGATTCAAGCATGTGAAAATCAGATTTTCTTCAATTTTTCTGAGATCAAACAATCCTTACCTTGTGTTGTCACACATTTCAAACTCAAAATCACTGAAAGACAAAAAAAAATAAGCAATATGATATCATACAGTCACTGATCAGCCTCATCTCTTCACGACTAGACCAATGGGAGGATAGATATTCATTGACCATAAATTAGATCAATTCAGGTCCAGTACATCATGCTGTTATTCTGCCAAACCAAATAATTTGCAGTACACAAACAGCTCAACGTATGAATCAGTTGAGTTTGAGACGATTGTGGCTCAACAGCTGCAATGCTGATTCAAACATTGAGGTATCATAGTGCTGAACTTCATAGTGCTGAACTTCATGCACAAAAACATCTTTTTTCAAGAATAATGAAAAAATTCCATCTTATTGGACCTTTAATGATGCTTTTGACTCTATTTGGATGGATGCTTGAGTCAACGTTAGGCCAAATGTTTTTAGGATGACACAAATTTATTATTTGGTTYGATGTGATGACATGACAACCACGCTTGACTTATAAATGGGCCTGAAAACCACTAAAATAGACTGAAGCTTGATTCAGATGTCAATCTTTTGCTGTGCCTAATGTCATTGCTTGCATGAAATTCATGAGTTTGTAGTCTACATTCTATTGACATTTACGGGTTATAATATTAAAGTTTGTCCAACAGGACATAAAACTCCAAAGATCTGAACCTTGCCTGAACAATTCTATTTATTTGTTCCTTCGGCCTTGGTATTTGTTACCGTTGTCTGCATTGCTATGCGACCAGCTCAGACAAAATTCACAATGTGCAATTAGTGATAGACTGCTGTCAATCAAAACCTTCAAACAAGACCAGTGGTTGTCATCAAAGTACTTTAGTTGATTGAGAGGGGTCTGTTGTTGATAATTGAAGTGGATTGGTCACGTAACAATGCAAAGGACGGTGATATTACTCGACTTTATTTACCYAGATTACTACATGAATTATTGATATTTCCGTGTAAGTCTGCATGCAAATGATCCTAATTATTCCATCACACCCATAAAGTTAAATCGAGCCAATTTATTACTTAAACTAAGCGTCCACTCAGAATATGAAAACTGAATAAAAATATTTCACTTATTTCCGAACGTAGKAAGACTGTATCAAACATCTGCAACGTCAGAATTAATCTTTTAATATAAAAAATTGTTCGCTTCATGCACATCCATAAAGCCTTGACACCATCCATTAACACACAATCAACAGGAATATGTACAAATGTGATAGTGGACAGTAATTGATATCGATGTTTTTAAAAAGACTTTTCAGCAATAATATATAATAAGTCATTGTGGTTCAAGGTAGGGCGGTCAATTTCACTCTTTATGAATTTCGAAAT